ACCATTACAAGACCTTAAAAACAAGCTCGAAACTTGAAATTAGTCTGGTCAAATACTTTCTTCGAGACAACAAAAAAATGGAGGGACTTTTGAAGTTCTTAATGAAAAATGTTCGAATTTAGTTAGTTTACATAGAATAGTTGGGAGAAAACCTGTTAAATCGGCATCAAAGAAGCTAGCACCGAACAATTTGCGCCTTTGAAATTGGCTTGTCGAAGTATGGACTGAAATGGAGGAAAAAGGAAGATTAAATGAGATTTAAATCATTGAGATTAACTAAGGCAAATACCATAGACATATCAATTAACTGAAAAAACAGAACAGTGTTGTCTTGAAATCTTGCTTGATCAATGTCTTGCCACTAAAATCTTTGCCGGTTAAGTCTTGTCCCCTTGTTACTTCAGATCCATAAGGCCCTCCTCCCTTTTTAGCAATGCAAATTGTCAAAATGAAATACGTTCATAACCGATTTAAATCGTCAAAAACTCGTATCTGACACACACTCAATCTAAAAAACATAACATGAATGATCGAATTTGTGTGTATCATATGAAAACTCAAGTTTACCTTGAAACCAAGTGCATGATCTACTAAGAAAACAGAAGAAGAAACAAGGACTAGCAGAAACAATGCACATTGTCAAAAGAAAAGACATTGATAACCGATTTAAATAGCCGAAAAATCGTATCCGACACTCATAATCGAATCTAAATAACATAGCTTCGATGATCGAATTCATGTGTATCATTATGAAAACTCAAATTTACCTTGAAAGGAAGAGCAGGATCTACAACACATTGTCAAAACAAAAGACATTCATAACCGATTTAAATAGTGGAAAACTCATATTTGACGCTCACTCTCGAGTCTAAATAAGATAACTTCGATGACCGAATTCGACGTATCATAATGAAAACTCAAATTTACCTTGGAAGCAAGAGGATGATCTACCACACGTTGTCAAAACAAAAGACATTCATAACCAATTTAAATCGTTGAAAAATCGTATCCAACACTCACACTCGAGTCTAAATAACATAGTTTCGATGATCGAATTTGTGTGTATCATATGAAAACTCAGATTTACCTTGAAAGCAAGAGCATGGTCTACCACACATTGTCAAAACAAAAGACATTCATAACCAATTTAAATAATAAAAATCGGATAACATAGTACACGAATCAGCTCCATTAGCCCTGATAGGGATAGTTGCAGCTCTCCTGGAACTGTTGTTTCCTATCTGGGATCTCTTTCTATGATACCTGATACAAATGAGTGCAAAAATAGCTAAAAGCACACCGATCACCACTCCTATAGAAATCCCAATGATCAAACCAGATGACTCTCCTCTTATATCTACTCCTTTTGTTATTTTCTATTCAAGCCTCCAGTCCATTGAAACAACTGCAAAGACAATTCTGGGGTCAAATGAGTAAAATTTAAAATCTGCAATGTAATTCAGAGTCAAATAGTGTCATTTTAACTAAAACTAGAAGGTAAAGTTTAGAACTTTCATGACATTTTTCATAGGAAATGGAATAAATGTCAAAACTGATAAACAGGACAAATACAACTTTTTGATTGGTCTTATACCAAAACTGCTCCAATTCACATGGCCATAGAAGGAAACAAATTGGAAATATCCCCAGAAAAAAAAATTCAATTAAAAAGGAAACCAATAATTTTCCTAAAGCTTGTGATTTGAAAAATATACTTGATCTGATTAGCATTGGACAAAAACCTATTAATTATTACGAATCAAAAACTAAAACTTTCTGCTGATAATAGATTAAAAAACAAGAATAACATAGACTGATCTATATGGTTACTGAGAAAAAAGAGTTTAGGAACTCCAAAAAGGTTTAAGGAAAGCAAAGAGCTTTTAAGTAGAACCTATATAAGTTTCTTTTAATTTCAATTTCCACCAAGAAAACAAAAGCAGGAACAAGGGAAAGCAAGCTAGTCTTGGACAATGTTTTTCCCAAAGATAAAGAACCCTTTTCGAGTTTCTCCTCAAGAACCTGTACAAAACCAAACAACCTTAAATCAACCAAAACAAACGAAGAATTGAGAGAGTGAAAAAGGGTTTGAAAAATGGAACCTTGGGCGTATGATAGTTCAAATAAGAGTGGGGTTTAATGAAGCAAAGGGGGGACTTTTGTGGGTTTTTTACAGAGAATCTTTTGGAATACAAAGAAACATTGTTAAAATCGTAGAGAAGAGCCATTGTCGGAACTAAAAATAGAAAGGATGTTTACAGGTTAAATTTCAGAAGAAGAATGTAACAACTCTCCCTGTAAAGCTCCAAAGCAAGTTTCTCATAAGAGAACCATTGTTGAATTTTTTTCCTTCGCATAATGAAGCTTACGGGAGAAGGGTATTTTAGCCAACAGAAGAAGCAAATACGTAAGGGAGAGGGGAGACTAACATTCCCGGTAAAACAGAAAAAAATACCACTGTTGGTATTAATTTTTGAGTGGCACTTGGGAATGTGGAGAAACTAAATATGGGTATCTTAACCCGAAAAAAAAATTCCTTCCAATAATGAAATATTCCGTGAATCAAACGGGATTTACAATTATAAATTGATTAACTATAAATTATTAATTTTTTAAAAATTATTAACGATTTTGAATAATTTTATGAAAAAGTGTTAAATTATTTCGTTAGTATGAGACTACTATCTGATAAACATATTTTCAGATTTTTTTTAATGTTGTATGCATACACCTGACCGTGTAAATTGCATATAATTATACTCAAACTATTTAAGTCATAAGGTAAGACAAACATTCAATTATTCTTGTAACTAAATCACTTTAAAATTTTATAATTTTTATGATTTTATCTTATCTCTCGTTCGTTTAGGAATATGAGCGTGTAAAACACACATATATATATAGTATGTAATTGATATTTCATTTATATGATATAGGAACACAAATATGTTTTCACGAGTGTTTGAAATATATCATTCAACTCAAACATTATATGATAAAACTACCAACGTATCACATATTATATATATATATATATAAATGCAACAGGTAGACAGAGACAAATCAAGTATGTCGAATTAAAAAACACTAACAAGCTTTTAATTTCATATTTGTATTAACTATCACTTCACATGTCATACACTTTTTATCTCAGACACATATATATACTAAACATGCTTTTAGTATTGTAAATATATATATCAATGTTTATACAAAATATTCTTATTAGATTAATCGATACTTAAAAATATTGTATCCGAACATAGTTAAAAAAACAACATAAGTTACTCAAGTAAATCATACATACGTCTAATCATACTTTAGACGTTTAGACAATTTAAACAACTCTTTAAATTTTCTATTGAAAATATACTCAATAAATAACAGTAAATTCAGGTTGATAAGAAATAATGGAATAATTTTAATGAATATATTCAAAATTTTCAATATTTTTTTACTATTTATTATAATAATTTGAATTTATCATGTCATAGATTATGGTATATTTTTATTTTTTAATAGTAATTTCAATATTTTTATTTTCTAATAATTATATTTTATATTTTTATACTTATTTTTTTGAAATTTTAATAATTCATCATTTTTTGTTTTCTTGAAAATGAGGTCATTTTAACAAGGAAAATTCAAGAAAAATCAACAGTTGCACATAAGAGGGTTTGAATTTGGGTCCACAAGAAAGAAAACCTAACCCTTAATCACTAAGTTAACTTAGAATCTTATTATGATCTTAACCCAAATAATATATATTAAACTATAACTAAAATTATTTTAATTTATCTAATGATATAGTAATATAAATATCATGTACAATTTACTTTATAAATATAAAATATTATTTATAATATAAATATATTATTTTATATATATTAATTCTATAAATATATTATATTTATAAAATATATTTATATACTATTGATAAATAATCAGAGTGGGAAAAATGATATTTATAAATATATGACTTTTATATATTTCTTTTGCACGAACTAAACGAACTCGATGGTAAATAAATTGTTGTTAGTTCTTGAGGTCTAGATTCGAGCACCATGAATGTCAGGAGTGTGAATGTTCAATGTCAAATGATTGAGAGTTATATTTGAATATGTACTACAGTGTACGTAACCCATATTAATAAAAAAAATAGAGTTATTTACATCATATGTCCCCAAATTATGTCTCTCATTTTAAATCGGTTCTTAAACTTTTAAACATTCCAATTTCATTCCAAACTATGAATATCATTCTAAAGTAGTCTGTAAACTTTTGAATATTCTAATTTTATCCCCAAACTACGACCCTCATTTTAAATTGGTTCCAAACATTTGAATCTTCCAATTTCATCCCCCAAATTCATCCAAATATGTAATTAGTTTCAACCATAGCTTAACCTTAATTTTATTTTTTAAAACATGTAATAATATAGCTTGGCCTAATGATTTTATTAACAAGGGATATGTTTAGTATGTATGTATGGTTTGGAATGAAATTAAAATGTTTAAAAAGTTTGGGGATTAATTTAGAATGAAAGTCATAGTTTGGGGATGAAAATCGTAATTGAAGGATAAAATTTGAATGTTTAAAATTTTAGGGACTAATATAGAATGAATATCTCATTTGAGGACATGTGATGCAATTAACTCAAAAAATTAAGATGAGTAGGAACGATCCTTTTTAACACTTGTACCACTGTGGAAGGTTGTCCTAAGGCTAGCCAAAATCTGTTTTTCCCTATTCAAAGCAAAGCAAGTGCAGCTTACTTGGGCATTAATCAAAGAATAGCTTCAGTATCTTTAGTTTGTCTCCTTAATTGAGCATTTATATACCTAGCCTCCACTTACACCCAAAATTGTTCTTACTTGTTCAAAGGGTTTACCGTAAAAGCCTCCCTTTGTATGCACTCAAAGAACAAGGAGATTCCATTCCCTACTACAAACTCACATTCCATACCTTCATGCTCATCCATCTCCCCTTCTTTTGAACTATAATCGATGTCGACCCAACCGCAACAACCCGTTGTCGTTTACCCAAATAATGTGCCTGCCGGGCAAGCACCGCCATCTCATAGCCATTCCGATGGATCGTTTGGACCAGTTTTTATAGTGCTGGCAATGATTATTGTTATTTCAGCCATCGCTTGCTTCATCGGAAGAATGTGTAACCGGTGGGGGAATCAAACGAAACCCTCTGGGCAAAACCGGAACCATGATTTGCGTCCTAAAGAAAGGGACGTGGAGTTTGGCCTCGGGTCCAGTGGGAGGATTCCTGGTGCCGAACCGCCCGGTGGGCATGATGAACCGAGCAAAGGGTTCAAAATGCCCGGAAATGAAGATGTTGGAGGGCCTAGAATGCCTGAAAAAGGGGATCCAATTCCAAGGATCAGAATCCCCGGAAATGGAGATCCTAGGGGACGTAGAGTGCATGCAAATGGGGATCCCACAGGGTTCAGAATCCCCGTACCAAAGCCTGTAGATGATGGACCGCTAAAACCTGATGAATGATATCTAATATCACGGCACATAGTAGGTTCCAAACTGGTTCATTGCATAATATATATCTTCTTTTTTCCCCTAGGAAACTATGTAGTTTCTTATTGTTATGATGTTGCACATGTATTTATATTCTTATTTTGATGTTATTGCTCGGAATGTTTCTTGATCTGATTACCCTTCATCCCTTGATGGCCCCTCCACGGCATAGGGGTAGCTCCACATTATGCAATCAATTATTTTCATTTTTCAATTAAATAAATTATTATATTATTTTGCTCAGATGAGATAAAATATATTGATTTTCTAGACATAATATATCTTCTCTTGACGTCATATTGTAATAAGTCTGCAAAACAACACAAAACATTGAAAATTTTAACTTTAAAAAATTATTTAAACAAAATAACATAAATAAAAAATAAGTATATAAAACAAAATAAATAAAACTTAAAACTTTCTTAAATTATTCTCTAAAATTGCTTCAACCTCAATACTTTCTCTGACAACCTTTCTACTATAAAAGTTTAATCTATGTAGTAATTGTCCTTCAGGTGGTCCCAAAATCGGGTTCCGACTTGAATTGATGTGATGGAATCGCCACCGATCATTTTAAATTAGGTTGATTTGACACCTTAACTTACCATTAATATGATATGCGTTTTACCATAAATTAATCGGATTCGGTAGTCGATTACAATCAAAGAAGGATTAGCACCCTTTTACTGCCCTTTCAGTACCAGTTTGATTTCCCAGTTGTCTTAATTGCGAAAATTGAAAGTTAAAATTAAATTTAAGTATTCGATCTGAATTACTTACCTTTGACTGATTTAAAATTGCCCTTAGAAAAGGTTGAATTAATGTTAAACAATAAAACAAAATAAAACAAAAAAAAGTACTAAAAAATATTGAAAAATGATTAAATTGAAAAGAATAAAAAATTAAGGGTCAAATTGATGTTAATTGCAAGCTGCAAGGAAAATATAAAAAGTTAGGGGGTCAATTTGCAAAATATAAATAGAGATTAAGTTGAATTAATTCAAAATTCAAGGGCAAAATTACAACAGGGAACAAAATGAATTACGCATCAAAACTGTAAGGAGTACAAAAATAATTAAACTATTTCATAATTGCACAATGACCCTCCCTATAAATATCCCAAAAAATCATTAAAAAAATTATTTTAATCATTCTTAAAAAAACTCTTCCCTCTTCTCTCAAGTTCTCTCTTCTCACCCCCAAATGGCCATAAGCTAGCCACGCCCTTTGTCGCCCGGACCACCGCCGACCGCTACTCCAGCCACCACCACTGGTGGCCTGAAAAAAAAACTATACCAAATGCTCCCCTTTACACCTTAAAACCAAATCTAGCCCCTATCTCCAAAATCAACCTCAAAAGATGTAGATCTAAAAAGAAACTCTCGATTTTTTACCTTTTTCGATGATACCTTTTCAACTCCCGGTGGCTTTTCCCTTTCCGATGAGACTTCTATGTGTTCCTGGCGTTCTTTTGCTTGACGAAACCTTAAGCTTTGTTTTTTTTCTTTTAATTTCGAACGTTTTTGCCTTTGGGTTTTTTATATTTTGTATATTGCTTTTTGGTGTTCTCCTTTTCGATGAGTTTCGTGGTTTTTGTTGTTTTATGGTATTTATTGTGATTTCCTCTGTATGTTGCTATTGGTTGCTTGATCGGTTTTTTTTCGTTCGTGGTACCTTACCGGAGGATTTTATAGCACCCAAAAAGGGTGAATCAGGTCACCGAAATCTTGATTTTATTGGGATTTTACTTGTGCATTCGTATTCCTGTTGAACTCATCCCCATATTCCTGAGGAAATCAGGGGAAATATTCTAATTTGATCACCAAAAAACTATCCCCGAATTCTCTATTTGGTGCATTCTAGCGTGTGCTGCCGGCGTGTGGTCCTCACGCCCATTAAAGCCCTCCCATGTGGCGCCTTTACTAAATTTTGGAACCCTAGTTAACTTGGGCCGGGTCAGACCCTCTCCTCCTAATCGGGATTGCTTTGTTGGGTTAGGCTAGCATGATTCGGTTGGACTCTATTTTTAGACCCGATTGGGCTTTTGAACTTGGTCCTAAAAAACATTATTAAAAATAAATAAATAATATTAATAAAATAAAATAATAATATTATAAATAATATATAATATAATAAATATATGTACACTATATTTATTTTAAAAACTATATAACATATATTATATTTTCAAAAACTATAATATGTTTTCAAAATTATATATATTATATATATTTTTAAAAATATTTTCAAAAGCCATATACATTTTATGTTTTCAAAATTATATATTTTCAAAAATTATATATTTTCAAAAACCATATATTATATAAATTGTTTTTGAAATTATTATATATATATATATTATATATACTATATAATAATATAAATATTGTACTAAAAGCCCTTGATGTCCTGGACGAAAATGGGTGTCTACAGCTGCCCCTCTTTGCTTATTATTGTGTAACGAAAATAGTGCAAGGATAAAAAGACACAAGTTTTCGTTCGGTACAAATGGATTTTGAAGGCAAGCATGTTCCTGTGAGTGTCATCGGTCTCTGAGTTTAAAATCCGACTCAATGTTGTAGTTAACTCTTTTATCGAATATCCTCCGTCGCGGAGTTGAAATTCGACTTGAAAACTCCAATAGAATATGGCTCCCTGCTATTGAGCTGAATTACATATTACTCCTTTGTCGTGAAGTTGAGTCGATCTTGAGATGTCTTTGAGCACGATGTCCTTCATCATGAAGTTTAAATTGTGGTTGACTCATTCGTTGTGAAGTTGAGTCAATCTTGGATGATTTGAGCATGATATCATTCGTCGTGAAGTTGAAATCAAGTTCAAAATATGAACTGGAAAGTGAATTCTTTTTGCCAAATCGTAGTCGACCTTGGTCTTCTTCTTGGTTTAAAGACCTCGGTTTAAAATTCAATTGGAAAGTAGTTCCTTGATGTTACCATACGATTGATACACCCTCGAGCTGAATGGAATCGAACTCAAAAGTTTTCGTTTATATACAACTTTTCTCAACATGAGCTATGCTGTAAATCAGGCTGGGAGATAGTTCATTGTTGCTAAATCATAACTAACCTAGGTCTTCTTCTTGGCTTAAAGACCTCGGTTTGAATTTAAATGGAAGGTAGTTCATTGCTACTACCATACGGTTGATGCACCTTCATGCTCAATGGAACCAAACTCGAAAGCTTTCGTTGACATATATCCCCTCTCGCCTTCAGCTATAATATGAAAGGTTATTATAAGTATATGATGGCTCCCCTTCGGGGGTCTAAGCCGAACATTATCGTTTAGATGACTCCCCTTCACGGAAAAGTCAGGTGAGAAGACTCCTGTTCATAGTTTAAGTTGATCTTGATTCTTCGAATGACTTCATTTCGCGGGAAAGCCAAGTGGTATATTCATTAGGTGATTCCCCTTCGCGGGTCTGAACCAGGTGAGATGCTCTTAGGATGACTCCCCTTCACGGGAAAGCCATGTTAGATGTTCTTCGAATGAATCCTCTTCTTGAGAAAGTCAAGTGAGATATTTTTTTTCAGCTGGATATCCTCTTTCGTAGAGTTGAAATCTAGCATGGAAACTAGCTCATCGTCGTTGAGTTAAATTGGATCGTAGTAGCTTTTGAATTGACTCTTGAACCTAACATCTTCTTTCGTGGAGTTGAAGTTGATTCCAAGGCCTATAGATCTTTCTATAGGCTGAGTTGATTGAGATGTAACTCCTCATTGTTTAGTTAAGCTAAGCCTTCATCGATTTTTGAAGACGCTTTTGAATCGAATATCCTTCATTCTGAAATTGAAACTTGACTCTAAAGTTGTAAAAATTATATATGCAAAAAATGATAAATGTGATACTCTTAAGTATTTCTAAGATGTATCCAAAATGAATTAGTTCTTATTTTATTTCTTGAATGAAGTCTCATTCTTTGTCTGCTAATCTCGTCCCTAGAGTCGATCTTTCCATAGTGATGACGGCTTCATGGTAATTATCTAATCTTTATACATTTGCCCACTCAATCTAATGATATTTTACTCCTTTCATGCTCTTTTTTGGCCTTGGTTTAGCCGAGGGGGTAAGGCTCTCTATCATTTTTATTACTCATCATTGTAGTTGACGCATCCATATTCAATGAAAGGTCTCTCTGAGTGAAAATCTCTACAGCCAAGAATACCTCCTCCAATGTCTGTAAAATTCTTCTGATTGTCATGAAAAATATTGGCGAACAAAAAGGCATGCTGCCTTGAAATTATAACAAGCACCTTCTTGTGAGTTCTCATATTCTTGTACTCGTAGAGTACTTTGCATTTTTACATAGGAATCATGTCATCAAAGCTTATCTTTACTCTAAACATCTTTGAGTTATAAGTGTATCGCTCTCTTTCTTTCACGCTCATTTGGGTTATCATTACCATTAGGGCTTGTATTCCCATTGTTTCTTTTAGATATGGCATCCTAAAGTATAATAGTGAACTCTTGCTTTTGAGTTGAAAGGGATTTGACAGTGACCAAAATTTTCTCGCTGTCATAAGCAGAACTCTTTCCAATTAAATCATTGCTGCAGGTCTCTTGCACCTTCCCTGGAGACCATCTTTTATCTGTTAGATCTAGTATCATGCCTAGCCATGGATTGTAACGCTAAATTATTGTTCGCAACGTCAGGCTCTGTTTTGATAGGAACCACATCAGGAGGCATGGGTGGTAGAAGGAGAAGAGATTGGAAACTTAGAGATACCCCACACCGTTTTAGGTCCTTCAACTGATTTTTTGAGAAAACATTTCTTCTCTAAGATATATCTCATTTTTAACAAAAAAAGGTCTGGTATAAAAATGATGTCAGAGTAATTAAAGTAAAGTATCAGTTCATTGAATATCAAATAAACGAATCACATAAGTTGTTTTCGAAAATTATAGCCCTTTGAAAAGTGTCAAGATCCATGGGTTATATGGGAAGGAATACAACTTGGTTTTGATTTTCAT